TACAAAAAATTAGCTGGGCATGGTGGCGCGTGCCTGTAATCCCAGCTAATTTTTTGTATTTTTAGTAGAGACGGGGTTTCACCATGTTGACCAGGATGGTCTCGATCTCTTGACCTCGTGATCCACCCGCCTCGGCCTCCCAAAGTGCTGGGATTACAGGCGTGAGCCACCGCGCCCGGCCATAATTACGTTTCTTAGTAGCACAAAAGTATGTTATACATACAGCATGGATTCATTTTTCTGGTATCAGTAGGTGGATTAGTATTGTGTTAGATTTGTGATAAATTCTTGTTTCCTCTAATAAATGGGTAGTTTAAGGTTTAGGATTGTATTTTAACAGCATTTCAGTGAACATGAGAAAGAGGCAAGGTTGCAGTCAGATTTGCATTTATGGGCTGTGATTTTTCTTCTTGGGAAAAATTCATGCATCATTCATACCTGTAATCCCAACACTTTGGGAGACTGAAGTAGGAGGGTCACTTGAGCCCAGGAGTTTGTGACCACCCTGAGAAATATAGTGGGACCCCATCTCTACAAAAAAAAATACAAAAATTAGCCAGGGCGATGCTGCACGCTTGTAGTCCCAGTTACTCGGGAGTCTGAGGTGGGAGGATCACTTGAGACAAGGAAGTCAAGGCTGCAGCAGAGTGAGTCTTACTCCAGCCTGGGGAACAGTGAGACTCTGTCTCCAAAAAAAAGGGAAGAGAAAAAGAAAAGAAAAATTTATGCACATAAACATAAGCCTAGTTGAAAAATTTAGGCCTCTGTTTAAGAAACAGATAATAAAGGGATTGTATTCTTAGGTATTCTTAGTTATATTTTAGAATCTTTATCTATGAAGGGGTTCTATCTTAGATGGAAGGAAAAGAAGGAAGAAGGAAATTTTTTTTTTTTTTTTGAGACAGAATCTCGCTGTGTCACCCAGGCTGGAGTACAGTGGTGCAATCTCGGCTCACTGCAAACACTGCCTCCCGGGCTCGAGGGATTCTCCCGTCTCAGCCTCCTGAGTAGCTGGGACTTGAGGTGTGTGCCATGATGCCCAGCTGATTTCTGTATTTTTAGTAGTGACGGAGTTTTACCATGTTGGTCAGGCTGGTCTTGAACTCTTGACCTCAGGTGATCTGCCCACCTTGGCCTCCCAAAGTGCTGGGATTACAGGCGTGACTTACCACACCCAGACTTCGTCTCTCTCTCAATCATCTCTGCGGTGTAGTGATTTTTCTTCGTTTGTACTTCTTTGGTTTGCTGGGTATCAGTCTTGCCATCTGTTTCCCATGAAGGTGTTAATTCTGTAATAGTCAATTAGTATATACTAGGATACAGTTTATTTTCATGTTTTTAAATCTTAAGAGTGCCTACAAATTGCAGCTTTTAAAGTTGTCTTAAACATGGTCTTCTATTGCTTCTTATAGGATTGTTCTGAACTAATTACTCTTTTTCAAAGTGCAAAATCAAATTTTTTTCAAACTTGTATTTCCCAGATAATGCTTACGATCCTGATGTGAATGCTAAACAAATATGGATTGACAAAACAGTGATAAATGACCATATATGCTTGACATTCACTGACAATGGGAATGGTATGACTTCTGATAAATTGCATAAAATGCTAAGGTAGGTAAAATGTGCCACACTTCTTAAAATCGTTGCTTTTACATAAAGAGTTTCCCGTGCCATAGTTTTTATTCTTGGTTTTTGTTTTTTGAAGTGAAATGCTGTACGCGTAGTGTGAGCTGTTCTCTGAGTCTTCCCATGATTCTCTTCCACTGGTGGATGATGAGTCAGTCCTCACCATTCTCATCACCTACCCCACCCTATCTCCAACTCCCTAAAAGTCCACCATTTCTTTAGAGTTGTAGTATATTGATATCAATTACTGATACTTTAGTGTACATTAGGTTTAACCAGTATTTCTAATAAAACTTACCACTTTGTTGGGAGTAACTTTTAGAGGAAGAGATTCATGGGGTGAAATCTCACAGTCCCAGGAGCATGGCTATTACTCAGCTATTTAGTCAGGGTGTGCCAGTGATGAGTTTCCCTGTTAGTACTTGTAGTCCTTTCTCTCCCCTGTGACGTAGATTTGGTTTCCTTCATTCAGAGCTGGGAAAACACGTTAAAATAGATTAAAAGTAATCTGCCTAATACATAAAAAAATAAAACAACAGAAAAGTAATCTGCCCAAGATTATACAACTAGGAAGGATGAGACCAGCATTTGAACCCAGGCTTTTATTTGGTATTACACTTACTGAATTAAGAAAAAAAAAAATATATATATATATATATAGGCATTATTTTTAAAAATCTTTCTTTTCTTCTTAGCTTTGGTTTCAGTGACAAAGTCACCATGAATGGTCATGTCCCAGTTGGATTATATGGGAATGGCTTCAAGTCGGGTTCTATGCGTCTGGGTAAAGATGCAATTGTTTTTACCAAAAATGGAGAAAGCATGAGCGTGGGCTTTTTGTCTCAGACCTACTTGGAAGTCATAAAAGCAGAGCATGTTGTTGTTCCAATAGTGGCATTCAACAAGCACCATATCCTTTTGGTTGTGAAATAGAAGCTGTGGAGAAACTGAAGAAATAATTCTGAAACATTCTGTGTTTTTGCCTTCCTCCAACTTACTCTCCTGGAGTAACACCTGTTCCATTTCTTACCTCTGTCCACTGCGTTTACCCTACACCTGAGGCGAAGGGTTTGTCCCTTTGTCTTCTCTGTTGGACTCCTACTATGGAAATCCTCAACATTTTATGTTAAACTTCCCATAGCTCTTCTGTTTAGTTCAGGCTTATTGTGGACTAATAAGACCTTGTAGTCTGGCTTGAAAATTTGACTAGTGACCACGAAAAGCAAGATAACTTTAGGAAAATGCTTTCTGTATGAACACATTGAAATATTGGAAAGTATTAAATTAAGAATAATTTGCTCATTTTTTATTCTTCTTGGTGTTTGTTTGAAATCAAACTGCCATATTAAAACTTACAAAATAGACTGAGCTCGGTTGCTGATGCCTGAAATTCCACTACGTTGGGAGGCCAAAGCAGGAATATTGCATGAGCCCAGAATTTTGAGACCAGCCCAAGCAACATAGGGAGACCCTGTCTCTACAAAAAATTTAAAACTTAGCTGGTCATGGGGGTGGGTGTCTGTGGTCCCAGTTAGGCTGCAGTTAGCCCTGATCATGTTGCTGCACTCTAGCCTGAGCAATAGTGAGACCCTATGTCAAAAAAAAAAAAAAAACCTTAGAAAATTATTTATAAATAGTTTTTCTGTTATTTAAGTTTACAGAATTGGTTTTCATATTGTAATTATGAAAAATATGTTGGCAGTCTGAGTCTTTAACTCAGGATATACGACAGATGATTAATTTGGCAGAATCAAAAGCCAGCCTTGCTGCAATTCTGGAACATTCTCTGTTTTCTACGGAACAGAAGTTAATGGCAGAACTTGATGCTATTATGGGCAAGAAGGGGACGAGGATCATCATTTGGAACCTTAGAAGGTAAATGTGGACAGCTAGATGTTGACCATTTGGGAAGTAAAGTGCATGTGCAGGGGTGCTTTCATTACATTCGTCTCTGTTACACACAGTAGAAATACATGGAAAGGTACTCATTTGTTGGTGTAGTTACTGATTTGTCTTTGTCCAGGATATGTTACAGAGGCCATTTTGGCTTCAATTTGAGATATTTTCATATTGCTAAAAAAAATTTCTATTCCTGCCATTCATTCTCCGTTAGTATTCTTTCTCATTCCATCCCCTCTTGTCAAAAAAATGAAAAAAAGCAGTGAGAAGACAAATTTAGGAGGATAAGTCTTTCTCCATTGTGTCCATTATTTAAAGCTAAAAGTGGTATAGAACATGATGAGAAAAGTAATACAGGTATTGATCGACTTACGACCCATGCAACTTACGACCATTCAACTTTACGATCACAACCGCTAGCCACGACTGCTCCGCGTCTGGCAGCACAAACGTTGCCCAGCTGGGCATATGACAGTGCGGACCAGCTTCCAGCAGCACTATCTCCGTGTGCACCATTTCAACTGTTATCCCAGACTCGGTACAGCAATTTGTGTTTTGTGTCTGGATATTTTTCATCAAACCCCTCCCAACATGGCTACCAAGAGGAAATTGTCTTTGTCTAAGCCTCAACCTGCCAAGAAGGAAAGAAAGACCATTGATCTCGACACGAAAATGAAGGTAATTAAGCAGTACGAAGGACGAAAGAAAGTGAATGTGATCGCACATGATAACGAAGTTATCACACTCGACTGTGTTGACGATTTTGAAAGATAAAGATAGAATTCGTGAAGCTGTGAAAGGTTCTGCACCCATGCGCTCAACAGTTATAACAAAGCAACGAAGCGGGCCCATCCACGAAATGGAGAAATTGCTATATATTTGGGTGGAAGATCAAATTCAAAAACAGACACCATTAAGTCTTTTTACCGTGCAGATTAAGGCGAGAAGTCTATTTCAGACTCTGAAGGAGCGTGCTGGAGAAGATTACAGTCAAGAATTTGTAGCAAGCACTGGCTGGTTCCAGAGATTCAAGAAAAGATTCCAGATGCATAGTGTTCGAGGGACTGGAGAAGCAGCGAGTGCGGATGAGGAAGGAGCACGTAAGCTTGTTGATAGTCTGGATGAATTAATTACAGATGAGGGATATCTAGCAGAACAGATTTTCAATGTTGATGAAACTGGGTTATTTTGGAAACGGATGCCAGCACGCACTTATATTCACAAAGAGGCCAAAAGCATGCCGGGATTTAAAGCATTTAAGGATAGGCTAACTCTGCTGCTTGGCGGGAACATCGCAGGGTTTAAGCTGAAGCCGTTCTTAATATCACTCAGACAACCCGCATGCGTTCAAGAATGTTAACAAGCACACACTGCCCGTCTACGTTCGTTCTCAACGTAAAGCATGGATGATGACACAAGGATTGTTTGAAGACTGGATTATGAACTGTTTTATTCCTCAAGTTCGAGAATATTGTTTGGAGAAAGATATTCCTTTAAAGATTTTATTGCTACTGGATAATGCACCTGGACACCCACCACATCTAGGCGATCTCCATCCAGATGTAAAATTTGTTTTTCTTCCACCAAACACTACTCCACTCATCCAGCCTATGGACCAAGGTTCGATTGCTACATTAAAGGCCAACTATCTCCGAACCACCTTCACTCAAGCAATATCGCTATAGATGCTGACTCAGAACTAACATTGTGAGATTTTTGGAAACACTACAACATTTTGATGTGTATCAAGAATATCGCTACCTCCTGGGAGGCTGTGACGACAAAGTGCATGAATGGCATCTGGAAAAATTGTGTTAAGTGCTATGTTAATGATTTTGATGGATTTGACAGTGAACAGGAACTTGAAACGATTCGGGAAAAAATAGTAAAACTCGCTAAAGACCTGTCTTTGGAGTGTGAAATGGAAGATGTCGAAGAGTTGCTAGACAAAGAATCCAGAGAACTTACAAATGAAGAGCTAATCGAACTGGAAGAAGAAAGAGTGGCAGAAGAAGAAAGAAGAGAAGCAGAGAAAGAAGAGGAGGAGCCAGAAAGAAAGTTCACCACTAAGGGATTATCAGACGGTTTATCTTTACTGGATAAACTTCTTATACATTTCGAAGCAATGGACCCAAACATTGAACGATTTGCAAGGATTCAATGGATGGTGCACGATGTGTTTCGTCCGTATTGTGAAATTTATGAAGAAAAAAAGAAACATACAATTCAGACAAAGCTCGCCGTGTTTATGAAAAAACCAACTCTGGTAACCCCAACTGCTGCCTCAGATGACGACATCAACGATCCGTAGCCAAGCACCAGCGGCCAATAAAATGTTTCGTGCATGTTTATATATTTTGATGTGTTTTGCAATTGGGAAAATGTTTTCTATGGTATTTTTTACACCTGTATTTTGTAATTTTGTATGTTTTGCAAATATTAAACCAGTTGTACTGGTATTGCAGTGTTTTACTTAAACCTGACGAATGTAAAAATAAGAAACAAAATGGTGTAGAGATGATACAAATGGCATAAAGTGAACAAAGAAAATTATGATATATAACAATAATGAAATTATGATAAAATATGACTTAAAGATTTTTATAACATCATTTCACAGTACTGTACATATAGCCTACTCAACTTACGACCAAATCGTGTTACGACCGGTCTGTCGGAACCAATCATGGTCGTAAGTCAAGCACTAGCTGTATAGGTGAGATATTTGTGGTGTTAAAGTTTATAGTCCTTTATCTTTGTGAGGATAAAATCCTTTGCAAATAAATTTTAAAATTAAAATTAATGTCTAATATTGAAAGATCTAAGACATACTGCGTCACAGGTAAAGCACAGGTAGGGATAAGCCTGAAGAACTAAAAAAGCTTGTGCTATTCAGATACCTGAATTTATTTTCTTGCTTTCACCTCCCTACCCCTCCTCCTGGAGGATTTTTTTTCTGTTAAACTTTTTGAGATAATTGTAGATTTATGTGTAGTTGTGAGAAGTAATATAGATGTTTCATGTATACTTTATCCATTTTCCCCCAGTGGTAACATCTAACAAAACTATAGTACAGTAGTACTATTGATATTGACAGGATTTTGACATTGATGCAGTCAAGATGCAGGACGCTTTAGTTACCACAGGAATCCCTCATATTGCCGTTTTGTAGCCATAGCCACTTCCCTTGTAACCCCCACTCCCTTCTTAATCCTTGGCAACCTCTTATCTGTTCTCCATTTCTATAATTTTGCCATCTTAAGAATGTTACATTAACAACATTGAAACATTTTGGGATTGGCTTTTTTCACTTAGCATAATTCTTTGGGGTTTTCCACGTTCTTGTATGTATAGTTTGTACCTTTTTCTCTTTTTCTTTTTTTTTTTTGAAACGGAGTTTCACTCTTTCCCCCAGGCTGTAGTAAAGTGGCTTGATCTCAGCTCACTGCACCTTCTGCCTGCTGGGTTCAAACAATTCTGCTGCCTCAGCCTCCTGAGTAGCTGGGACTACAGGGGCATGCCACCACGCCTGGCTAATTTTTGTATTTTTAGTAGAGACGGGGTTTTGCCATATTGGCCAGACAGGTCTCGAACTCCTGACCTTAGGTGATTACCTGCCTCAGCCTCTCAAAGTGCTAGGATTACAGGTATGAGCCACGGCGCCCGGCAAGTTTGAAACTTTTTCTTGCTGAGTAGTATCTCGTTGCATGTATGGAACACAGCGTGTTTACCTGTTCAAGACATATGGTTTTATAGTTTTGGGATACTACAAATAAAGCTATAAACATTTGTATACACGGTTTTGTTTGAATATAGTCTTCGTTTTTCTGAAATAAATATACAGAACTATAATCGCTGTATCATATAGTACTTGCATTTTATTTTCTAAGAAATGCCGGACTGTTTTCCTACCAGCAACGTATGAGTCATACAGTTCTCTACATCTTCCAGGATCCATTTTCTTTCTTTTTCTCTTGCCTTTGCACCCCAAACCCCCATTGACATGTACTACATGTAGGTTTATTTATTTGCTTACCTTTTTAATGACTTTCAGTGTTTGCTTGCTTATCTTGCTGTGAGGTTCAATTTTGGTTCTTTCTAAAAATTATTTCTGCAGCTACAAAAATTCAACGGAGTTCGATTTTGAAAAGGATAAATATGATATCAGAATTCCTGAGGATTTAGATGAGACAACAGGGAAGAAAGGGTACAAGAAGCAGGAAAGGATGGACCAGATTGCCCCTGAGAGTGACTACTCCCTGAGGGTATGTATTCCGCTTTTTGTGGAAATGAGAAAATTATTGAGTCATGGTAGTATTAGGAGAGAGCTCATGTTACCTATTTGTGGTATAAAGGCTGCCAGTGCTCTCTAAATGAAAGTATCTCAGACATGAAACAGCTTAGTTAAACTTTTCATTAGCACATTGGTTGATTTATTTGCTTAGAAATCCTTTTTAAATTATGAAGTTGTCAGGTCTAACAATGCTTGTAGTTTTTACTATATGCTGACATCATATTAGAATCAGTATATTATTATTAATCAGTATATAGTGGTTAGACTCATTCAACCAAAAAACACCAAATTCAAAGTCTTATTAAAATTTTAACATATTCTAGAATACATTCCTTAATTGTCCTCCTAAAGCAATAAATTATAGACTACAGATAGATAATGTACATTAATATACCTTTTTGATAAATGCGTCTAGGATTTTCCCTTTAGAAAAGAGGTTTTTGTTTTTTGTTTCTCTTTTTGCAGATTATGTTTTTGGGTTTCACTCTCTCACCCAGGCTGGAGTGCAGTGGTGTGATCTTGGCTCACTGTAGCCTCTGCCTCCTGGCCCCAAGTAGTCCTCCCACCTCAGCCTCCTGAGTAGCTGGGACTACAGGCATGTGCCACCACACCCGGCTAATTTTTTGTATTTTTGGTAGAGATGGGGTTTTGCCATGTTGTCCAGGTTGGTCTTGACTCTTGGTCTCAAGCGATCCACCTGCCTTGGCCTCCCAAAGTGCTGGGATTACAGGTGTGAGCCACCACGCCTGGCCAAAATGAGTATCTGTTTAAGATTGAAGAAATTGGCCAGGTGTGGTAATCCCAGCACTTTGGGAGGCAGAGATGGGTGGATGGCCTGAGGTCAGGAGTTTGAGACCAGCCTGGCCAACATGGTGAAACCCTTTTTCTAAAAATATAAAAATTAGCCTGGCACAGTGGCGGGCACCTATAATCCCAGCTACTTAGGAGGCTGAAGCAGGAGAATCACTTGAACCCAGGAGGCAGAAGTTGCAGTGAGCTGAGACTGTGCCATTGCACGCCAGCCTGGGCAATAAGAGCGAAACTCCATATCCAAAAGAAAAAGTGAAGATTGAAGAAATTAATATCTCAATATAACAATGTCAATAAATTAAAATCAAATATTTCTTTCTTTTTTTTTTGGAGGCATTGTTTCCCTCTTGTTGCCCGGGCTGGAGTGCAATGGCATGATCTTGGCTCACTGCAGCCTCTCAGGTGCAAGTGATTCTCCTGCCTCGGCCTCTCATGTAGCTGAAATTACAGGGATGCGCCACCATGCCTGGCTAATTTTGTATTTTTAGTAGAGATGGGGTTTCTCCATGTTGATCAGGCTTGTCTCAAACTCCTGACCTTACGTGATACACCCGCTTCAGCCTCCTAAAGTGCTGGTATTACGGGTGTGAGTCACTGTACCTGGCCAATATCAAATTTTTTAGTCACTTTGAGAAGACATGTGATACTAACTTTTTGCTCTATTTCTTTTTTTTCTTTTTCTTTTGAGATGGAGTCTCGCTCTATTGCCCAGGCTGGAGTGCAGTGGCACAATCTTGGGTCACCACAACCTTCGCCTCCCGGGTTCAAGTGATTCTTCTGCCTCATCCTCCCAAGTAGCTGGAACTACAGGCGAGCGCCAACATGCCTGGATAATTTTTGTATTTTTTTTTTTTTTTTTGAGACGGAGTTTTGCTCTTGTTACCCAGGCTGGAGTGCAATGGTGCGATCTCGGCTCACCGCAACCTCTGTCTCCTGGGTTCAAGCAATTCTCCTGCCTCAGCCTCCCAAGTAGCTGGGACTACAGGCGTGCGCCACCATGCCCAGCTAATTTTTGTATTTTTAGTAGAGACGGGGTTTCACCACGTTGACCAGGATGGTGTCTCGATCTCTTGACCTCGTGATCCACCCGTCTTGGCCTCCCAAAGTGCTGGGATTATAGGCGTGAGCCACCGCGCCCGGCAGTTTTTGTATTTTTAGTAGAGACAGGATTTCACGGGGTTGGCCAGGCTGATCTCAAACTCTTGACCTTGTGATCTGCCTGCTTTGGCCTCCCGAAGTCCTGGGATTACAGGTGTGAGCCACTATCCCTGACCACTTTTTACTTTATTTCTTGTGTTAAAATTATTTTCTAACCCCAAGCTGTGGATGTATTAGACATTTTTACAGATTAAACATGTAATTTTTGCTAAGTTCTTAGCAATTATAGTGGCAGATATTTACCATTCCTTGATGTTTCCTAAAGTGTTTGTAGGGTATGTCCAGCTATTATTTCATACTTGAGTATGTCATACTCAAGTATGAAACAGGTTCAGAGGCACCCAGAGAAGATGGTATGGGTTTAGTACTCTACAAAATATGCTTTTTAAATGACACAAAGTACCACTTCTTTTGAAATCGAGCCCGGAAAAGTAAGAGAAATGTTCCAAGTTTTAGTTTTGTGTTGAAACTTTTTTTTTTTGAGTTGGGAGTCTCCCTCTGTTGCCCATGCTGGAGAGCAGTGGCACGATCTTGGCTCACTGCAGCCTCCACCTCCATACTTGACAGAAAAATCAGAAAATGCACCTTTTTGTACATATATACATTTTTTAAAATTAAAATGTGATCATACCATGTATGCTGTTCTGTAATTTTTTACACTCTGTAATAGTAAGTGTTTCAGCATCTGTATCAGTTGACTGTATTCTGCAAGTCATTTTTACTGGCTGCAGTATATTGAGCTTAATTTTATTGAAAAATAATCAAATCAGAATAACATACAGCTTTATAGCCTATTTTATCGAAGAGTTAATTTGTCTTTTACCAAGTTAAGAGGAGAGTGTTTATGTAAACCTGTGTCTAAGTAATGGTGAGCAAACCTGTAGATACTAACTTTTTTTTTTTTGAGACGGAGTCTCAGGCTGGAGTGCAGTGGTACAATCATGGCTCACTGCAACCTTTGCCACCCAGGTTCAAGCAATTCTCCTGCCTCAGCCTCCCGAGTAGCTGGGACTACAGGCATGCGCTATCACATCCAGCTAATTTTTGTATTTTTAGTAAAGACAGAATTTCACCATATTGGCCAGGCTGGTCTGGAACTCCAGACCTTGTGATCTGCCCGCCTTGGCCTCCCAAAGTACTGGGATTACAGGCGTGAGCCACCATACCCAGTCAATACTAACTTCTTGTTATGTTACTTTGCAGGCTTATTGCAGTATATTGTATCTAAAGCCGAGAATGCAGATCATCCTACGTGGACAGAAAGTGAAGACACAGCTGGTTTCGAAGAGTCTTGCCTACATTGAACGTGATGTTTATCGACCGAAATTTTTAGTATCCTTTTTCTTTTTATGATTCCTTATAGAGCATATATCAATCAGGTGTATTCTCCTTTGCCCCTTTCCCCTTCTATGTGGATAGGGATTCTAGTCTTCTCTAGCTTTGCCCTCCTTTGTGCTTTTAGACCTACTAAATAATGAAACAGAAAGGATGATTTGAACTGAGCGAAGTGTTACGTTCAAAATTTACCTTAATATTTTAAGTCTAAAACAGTGAGAATTACCTTTGGATTCAACTGCAGAAATAAAGATCATTATGGGATAATGATGTATCACAGAAATAGACTCATCAAAGCTTACGAAAAAGTTGGATGTCAGTTAAGGGTAAGCTTTATTTTTTATTTGAAAAGAAAATGTCTGTTTTCCACAAAAATTAGGATAATATATGCTATTGGGTCAAATGTTACGTAATTTTATTGTACCTTTTGCCTATGACTTTTCAATGTCAATTTTTAAAAAATAACATTAGTATGGTATTTAAATTATATTTTCTTTTCCTTTTTTTTTTTTTTTTTTTTTGAGGCAGAATCTCACTTTTTCCCAGGCTGGAGTGCAGTGGCACAATATCAGCTCAGTTCACTGCAACCTCTGCCTCCCGGGTTCAAGTGCTTCTCATGCCTCAGCCTCCCAAGTAGCTGGGACTACAGGCGCACTCCACCATGCCTGGCTAATTGTTTTGTATTTTTAGTAGAGATGAAGTTTCACCTTATTGGCCAGGCTGGTCTCAAACTCGTGACCTCAGGTGATCCACCTGCCTTGGCCTCCCAAAGTGTTCGATTATAGGCGTGAACCACCACGCCCAGGTTTATTTATTTTTACTTTTTGAGATGACTGTGTACATGGCTGGAGTGCTGTGGTGCAATTTTGGCTCACTGCAACCTCTGTCTCCCAGGTTCAAGTGATCCCACACCTTAGCCTCCTGCGTAGCTGGGACTACAGATGTGCGCCAGCACACCTGGCTACTATATGAATTTCTTTCTTTTCTTTTCTTTTCTGGAGATGGAGCCTCACTCTGTTGCCCAGGCTGGAGTGGAGTGCAGTGGTCTGATTTCAGCTAACTGCAACCTTCGCCTCCCTGGTTCTAGCGATTCTCGTGCCTCAGCTTCCCAAGTAGCTGGGACTACTGGTGTGTGCCACCATGTATTTTTAGTAGAGACAGGGTTTCACCAGGTTGACCAGGCTGGTCTGAAACTCCTGGCCTAAAGTCATCTGCCTGCCTCAGCCTCTTAACGTGCTTGGATTACAGGTGTGAGCCAGTGTCCCTGGCCCATTAATTTCTTATTTGATCCTGAACAGTCCTGTGAGGTGGGGACAGAATATTTCTTTTATCCCTATTTTATGCATAAGGAAGTTGGGGACCAGACACGGTGGCTTGTTCCTATAATCCCAGCACTTTGTGTGGCTGAGGTGGGAGGATCACTTGAGCCCAGGACTTCAAGACCATCTTGGGCACCATATCAAGTCTCTGTCTCAGCTGGGTGCGGTGACTCACACCTGTAATCCCAGCACGTTGAGAGGTCAAGGCAGGTGGACTGCTTGAGCCTGGGAGTTCAAGATGAGCCTGGGCATTGGGGCAAAACCCCATCTGTACAAAAAAACTCTAAAAATTAGTTGGGCCGGGTGGTGCATGCCTGTGGTCCCAGCTACTCAGGAGGCTGAGGTGGGAGGATTGCTGGAGCCCTAGAAGTTGAAGCTATAGTAAGCCAGGATTGTGGCACTGCTTTTCAGTTGAGGCAACAGAGTAAGACACTATCTCCAAAAAAAAAAAATACTACTGTCTCTACAAAACGACAAAAGCAATTAGCCAGTTGTGGTTGTACATCCCTGTAGTCCTAGTTATTTAGGAGGTTGAGGTGGGAGAGTGCTTGAGCCCTGGAGTTTGAAGCTACAGTGAGCTATGATTTTGTCCTTGCACTCCAGCCTGGGCAGCAGAGTGAGACCCTGTCTTTTACAAATAAGGAAATTGGGACTAATAATAAATAGTTGAAGCAACTTGCCTAAAACGTAACAGTGTGGACCTCAGACACAAACACATTTGAGTGCATTTGGATATGGATCCATTGCATATCTCTAAGATTTTGGTGATAATTCTTTATCTTACTTTATTCTAAGTTTTTTGTAGAATATTAGCTCTACACCGTATAGCACTGTGGATTCACCTTGAATATTAACAGGGGTTCTGACTCTGCTTTACCTGCTTTACATGGCATGAGCCCAAATACAGCATATTTGCAGAAGTAAATGAACTTTATATCTACCATGGAATGTAAATTTTTTTTTATCAGTTATGAATCTGACTTAAACAAGATACATATATGGCCCATTTTCCCACCCTAGTTAAATTGACATTGTGTGTATTTCCTAGTTAAGCTCAACGTTGTAAAAATGGGCTGTTAGAGCTAAATTATAATATTTGTCTTTAGCAGATGATGGACTGGGCCTAGTATTTGCATTCTGTGAATTTTGTAAAATGCCCATTGTGATTTGCTGTGTTGGGTGCTCAGCATAAAATGTTAATAAAATACAGAGCATGTCCTCACGGCTCAGTTTTGTGAGGGGACTGTGGAACATCCTTGGAAGCATCAGCAAAGGCTTTTTCTGAGTGTTGATTGAGTTGAGTCTCAGTTGACTTCATTGTACTGCAAAGTATAGAAGGGCTTTCCAGGGAGGGACAGCATGTGTAAAGGCAGAGAAAGAGGCTTCTGAGAGTATGACATCATAAAGGGAGTAATTTGCTATGGCTGGACCATATTTTAAGTGGAGAACAGAGGAATGAGAGAGGCACAATGATAAGGCTAGAAGGAAGATGGATAAGAACACAAATTAAAGGATCTTGTTATTACCGTAGTCTGAAATGGTGAACCTGATGGTTTTTGGTGGGGCAGAATTAGGATTAGTTGTATGGTTTCGTCTATAGTTATGTTTGTAAAAATTTTCATTTTATGAGTTACATGTTATTTTACTTTTTTCTTCATAGGCTAAGAAATATAGCTACAATCATGAATATACTTGTTAATCTCATGTAGATAATCAGAAGATGAATCATATTCTTGGAGTTCAACATTTTAGCTAGTAGATTTAAAAAACCAACCTAGATTTTTATTTCCTCATCATTAGTAACTGGATGTGTAATTTTGGATAAACGACTTTAATTTTTATCTCGCAAACTTATGGAATATTGCCTTTCAGAGTCTTTGCTAGTCACTACAATATCAGGATGAATTATTTGTGGTTTCTGTTCTCTAAGAAATTGTATCCTAGACCAGGTGCGGTGGCTCATGCCTGTAATCCCAACACTGTGGGAGGCCAAGGCAGATGGATCATGAGATCAGGAGATCGAGGCCATCCTGACCAGCATGGTGAAACCCCGTCTCTACTAAAATGCAAAAAATTAGCTGGGCATGGTGGCATGACCTTGTAGTCCCAGCTACTCAGGAGGCTGAGGCAGGGGAATTGCTTGAACCCAGGAGGTGGAGGTTGCAGTGAGCCGAGATCACACCACTGCACTCCAGCCTGGTGACAGAGTAAGAAAAACTCATCTCAAAAAAAAAAAAAAGAATTTTATCCAAGTAGAGGTAGTCCTTTTTCTCTTGTATAAAATTGGGAATGATAATACTTTTCTAAATGGATACTTGTCAGCATTCAAAGGGCTTTTGAGGTAGGGTCTAATGTATTTAGAAATTAACTCCCAGGAAAATGAATCACCTACGGTTTTTTTGTTTTGTTTTGTTTTTGTTTTTCAGCCTAAATTTGATGAGAATTGGCTGGGCACAGTGGCTCATGCCTGTAATCCCAACACTTTGGGGCTGATGCTGGTAGATTGCTTGAGGTCAGGAGTTCAAGACCAGCCTGGCCAACATGGTGAAACCCTGTCTCTACTAAAAATACAAAAATTAGCTGGGCTTGGTGGTGCATGCCTGTACTTCCGGCTACTTGGGAGGCTGAGGCAACGAGAGTTGCTTGAACTTGGGAGGTCTCGTGTCTCTTGCAGTGAGCCAAGATCACACCACTGCACTCCAGCCTGGGTGACCAAATGAGACTCTGTCTCTAAATAGATAAATAAATATGAGGATCATACAAGACAAAATATAGGAAAATACACAATCTATAATTCTTTAAGAATAATTACTTTGAGCATCATGTCTTATGCTGAAAATGCTGATTTCATTTTATTTTTCAGGCAAACAACATGGGTGTTGGAGTGGTTGGAATTATAGAGTGTAATTTCCTTAAGCCAACTCATAATAAACAAGATTTCGACTATACTAATGAGTACAGGTAGGTTACCTATTTAAATTATTGACTGAGGTTCCTAGGAAATGGATTACCAAGAAAGCAGGAACTTTCTCTATTTTCTACGAATCTCAGAAATACCTTATTAGTAAAGATAGGTTTGAATATACTACTTGTGATTGTGTAGGCTACAATTTCTAGAAGGGCAGATTGTTATATTAGCTTTCTATGTAAGTCCCTTCCTATTTTCTTAAAGTTCGATAATGTAATTATGATTTCATAAGTAAAATAAAAATATCCACAAGATGGCAAAATATTTAGTTTAAGTTATGAAAGTATTTCGAAAATAAACTTTAAAAAGAAGTCAATAATTTAAATAGGTAAATAGAGGGCCTGGCCAGTGCTGGCCTATAGACACGGTCTCTGGTTGACAGTGTGCGTGAATAGGTGGAGCTGGTCTGTAGAGGGTGCCTTATGTTGTTGGAGCTAGCAGAAGACTGCTGGTTGGCAGAGCATGGCCTAGTGGGCACAGCCAAAGCCTCTGGGAGGTCACTGGGCTGTAGCAAAATAGTAACAAGAGTGTCAGAACTTAGGCTGGATTTGGAGCTGAGAGACAATAAATTGGTAATTGACTCAATTAAAAAAGTCCGCTTGGTGCAGTGGCTCAAAACCCCGTCTCTACCAAAAATACAAAAAATTAGCCAGGTGTGGTAGCACGTGCCTGTATTCCCAGCTACTCAGGAGGCTGAGGTGGAGGATCGCTTGAGCCTAGGGAGATGGAGGTTGGAGTGAGCCAAGATGGCGCCACTGTACTCCAACCTGGATGACAGAGTGAGATCCTGTCTCAGGGAAAAAAAGGCCAGGTACAGTGGCTCACACCTGTAATCCCAGCACTTCAGTAGGCCAATGCAGGAGGATCACTTGAGCTGAGGAGTTTGAGACCAGCCTGGGCAACATAGTGGAGAGCTTATCTCTATAGAAAATAAAAAGATGAGGTGGGAGGATCATTTGAGCTTGGGAGATTGAGGCTGCAATCAGCCATGATTGTGGCACTGCATTCCCACCTGAGTGACAGAAGAGACCCTGCCTCAAAAAAAAGGCCAGAACGTTGTTTGGACTAATAAAGTCTATAAGCATCTGGCAAGACCAGTTAATGAAAAAGAGGAGAAAATACAAATCATCAGTATTGGAAATGAAAAAGAGGAAATTGCTGTAGAGTCTACAGACATGAAACATTAAGCAGATAGCGTGAACAAGTTTTCCCTATTTTAGATGATGTGGACATATTCCTTTGAAATTGAATCAGTTGGTTAGAAAACTTCCCACATACTAAATTCAAACATTTAAGGAAGAAGTGGCACCAGTCTTTTTATTTAAAAATTTAATTTGAAACAACACATAATAATCCATTTTTATGGAATACATGTGATATTTTATTACAAGCATATAATACGTAATGATCAAGCCAGGGTCATTGGGATATCCATCACCTCAAGCAGTTACCATGTTTTGTGTTAGGAACATTCCAGTTTTGCTCTTCTAGTTACTTTGAAATATATGAGTGTTACTGCTAACTATAGTTGTCCTATTGTGCTACCAAATCCTGGATCTTATTACTTCTAATTAACTGTATTATATTTATTTTATTATATTTTATTTTGAGACAGAGTCTTACTCTGGCACTAGGCACCAGTCTGGAGTGCAGTTGTGCAATCTTGGCTCACTGCAATCTCCTCCTCCTGCGTTCAAGCAATTCTCCTGCCTCAGCCTCTGGAGTAGCCCAGCTAATTTTTGTATTTTTTAGTAGGGACAGTGTTTCACCATGTTGGCCAGGATGGTCTCGATCGCTTGACCTTGTGATCCTCCTACCTGGGCCTCCCAAAGTGCGGGGATTACAGGTGTGAGCCACTGTGCCTAGCAACTGTATTATATTTATACTTATTCACCAGCCCCTCTTTATTTTCCTCTCTGCACTCCCTGTCCCAGCCTCTGGTAACCCTCACTCGGCTATGTCGTAAGATGAGTATTTTTTAGCTGTCATGTATGAATGAGAATATGAGATATTTGTCTTTCTATACCTGACTGACTTCACATAATGTCCTCCAGGTATATCCATTTACATCCATGTCATTACAAATGACGATTCTTGTGGTTGAATAATGTTCCATTGTGTATATGTACCATAGTTTCTTTATTCATTTATTTGTTAATGGGTGCTGATGAGGATGTGGAGAAAGGGGAACCCTCATACACTATTATTAGGAAAATAAATTAGTATAGTTGCTATGGAGAATAAGATGGAGGTCCGTCAAGAAAACTAATAATAGAATTACCATGTGATTGAGCAATCACATGGCTGGATATATATCCAAAAGAAAGGAAATCAGTGTATTTGAAGAGATACCTGCACTCTCATGTTTATTGCAGCACTGTTCACAATAGTCAAAGGTTTTATGAAGCTACATAACCTTGATAGTAAGCTCAGGAGTACAGGAAAGGAAATTTATATCAATCTCTCATCATAGAATTGAAAGTCTTAATTAAAATAATGGCAAATACCGTCCAGTGACATGCTAAAAGCATAATACCATTAAAACTAAGTGCGCTGTGTTCTAAGACAATATGGATGGTTTTAATGTAAAAAGTGAGTGTAGTTCATCATATTGATGTTAAATAAGAGAGAACCCTTATGGTTATCTACATAGATACCAGAAAAAGCACTTGTGATGATTATTATTTTTTTTCCACTTCCCACCCCGTGATTATTTTTAAAAGGGACACTTAACAAAAACTGTGAATCAAAGGGCATAATAACAGAGTATTTATACACACAGCAAGCAACATTACTAATGAGGGACAATTGTTAGCTTTCCCTGGAAGGGCGGGAAAGAGTTAAGGATATCAGCTATTCACTAATGTTCTTGAGAAAATAACTAATGTAATAAGGCAAAAGAAAGAAAAGGATTGAAAAGGAAAACACAAAGCTGTGTTACAGGTTGAGTATCCTTATCTGAAATCTTTGAGACCAAAAGGATTTGGTTTGGATTTTTTCATATTTTGGAATGTTGGCTTTATACTTACAGGTTGAGCATCACAAATCTGAAAATCTGAAATCCAGAATGCTTTGACGAGCCTTTCCTTTGAGTATCATGTTGGTACTCAAAAGTTTCAGATTTGAAGCTTTTGGATTTATGCATTTGGTATGTTCAACTTGTACGAGTAGTTGATAATGTTAAGTACCATTGACCCTTGAACAACACAGGGTTTAGGGATACTGAATACCCCTCAGTCAAGGATCCACGTATAACCTGACTCCCCAAAACCTTGAGAACCTACTGTTGAATGGAAGCCTGACTGTAAATAGGTGATTAAGCTGGGGATGCTGGCACACACCAGTAGTCCGGGCTACTCAGAAGGCTTGAGGCAGAATCATCACTTAAGCCCAGGACTTTGAAGCTGCAGTGAGCTGTGAGTGTGCCGCTGTGTTCCAGCCAGGGTGACAGAGCAAGACCTTGTCTCTTAAAAAAAAAAAAAAAAAAAAAAAAAAAAGAAAACCATCTATTAATGTGTTTTATATGTTAAATATTATATATACTGTATTTTTAAAATAAGCTAATGAAAAAATGTTAATAAAATCATGGCCGGGTGCCATGATTCAGGTGGGTATGGTGGCACACACCTGTTAATTCCAGCACTTTGGAAATCACCGAATCCTAGCTACTAGACCATCAGGGAACCACAGTCCCAGCACTTTGGGAGGCTGAGGTGAGTGGATCACTTAAGATCAGGAGTTTGAGACCAGCCTGGCTAACATGGTGAAAACCTATCTCTACTCTTTAAAAAAAATTTTTTTCTGAGACAGAGCCTTGCTCTGTCATCCAGGCTGGAGTACAGCGGCACAATCTTGGTTCACTGCAACCTCCGCCTCCTAAGTTCAAACAATTCTTCTTGCCTCAGCCTCCCAAGTAGCTGGAATTACAGGCACTTGCCACCAAGCCCAGCTAATTTTTTTTTTTTTTTTTTTTAAATAAAGATGGAGCTTCACCACCTTGGCCAAGTTGGTCTCTAAATCCTGACCTCAGGTGATCCAGCCGCCTCGGCCTCCCAAAGTGCTAGGATTACAGGTGTTAGCTACCACTCCTGTCCCCATCTCTACTAAAAGTAGAAAAATTAAACAGGTGTGCTGGTGGGCACCTGCAATCCCAGCTACTCGGGAGGCAGAGGCAGGAGAATCACTTGAAACCGCAAGGCAGAGGCTGCAGTGAGCCTAAATTGTACCATTGCACCCCAGACTGGGTGACAGAGTGAGACTTCGTCTCAAAACGAAACAAAACCCAAAACAAAGAAAATCATAAGGAAGAGAAAATATATTTACTGTTTAAGTGGAGGTGGTTCATATGTCTTCATCCTGGTAGTCTTCGTGTTGTATAGGCTGAGGAAGAAGAGGGATTGGTTTTGCTTTGGCAGGGGAAGAGGTGGCAAAGATGGAAGGAGAGGCAGACACACTCAGTTTAATTTTTATACATTGTAATTTCTGTCTGACTTTTTTTATTTTTATTTTTTTGAGTCGAAGTCTTGCTCTGTCACCCAGACTGGAGTGCAGTGGTGTGATCTCAGCTCACTGCAACCTCTGCCTCCTGGGTTCAGGTGATTCTTCCGCCTCAGCCTCCTGAGTAGCTGGGATTGCAGGCGTGCACTACCACGCCCAGCTGATAGATTTTTAGTAGAGACGGGGTTTCACCATATTGGCCGGTTTGGTCTCGAACTCCTGACCTTGTGATCTGCCCAGTTTGGCTTCCCAAAGTGCTGGGATTACTGTCATGAGCCACCATGCCCAGCATGTTTTTATTTTCCTAAAAATATCTCTGTGCAGTACCAATTCTTCCACTATCTGCTTCAGTTTCAGTGCGTGTATCATAGAAGTGTCCATGTTGTAAGAAGTCAAAAGCAGTCTTGAATAATTGGAACCCTTCTGCGAGATTGTCTAATGTCAGTTTGTTGTCTGGCACTGCAGCTTCTGTCTTCTTCCTCACTAACACTGGTTCAGAAACACTTACCTCCATCAAGTCGACTTCAGTTGATTCCTCAGGTGTGGCCTCTGTCCACTCTTGAATTCCTGCAACATCCATGTCTTGAAACTCTTTGCCCCCTACCTTTTTTTTCCTGTATATCCACAATCTCTTTGATGATTTCCTCATGCGGCTCTGTTGTAAATGCTGTGAAGTCATGCACGGCAGTGGACACAGAAGGAATTTATAGTTTTGAGCTTGATGTGTTTCACAGCTTTTTCTGTACTAATAATGGCCTCTTCAGTGGTATCATTATTCTTCTAGACTTTCATGATGTTTTTTCTGTGGGAATTCTTTTCCACAGTGTTAACCATCTTTTCCATGGACTACTGTGTGTAATGAGTCTTAAAGGTCTTATGACCGCCCTTATTTTCTAGAGGCTGAATTAAAGACATTGTGTTTCCAGACAAGTATACCATTTGGGTGGCTTTGGTGTTGAACTCATGGGATTATGGGTGGCCAGGGTACCTTGTCCAATATCAAAAGAACTGTAAAATGCAGTCCTGTACTGGCAAGTTAATTCCTGACTTCAGGAACAAAGATCAATGGAACCAGTCAGAAAAAGGGTTTCTCATGCAGGCCTTCTGTTTGTACAACCAAAAGACTGGCAGCTGGTGTTTGTCTTTTCTCTTCAAGGCTTGAGGGCTAACATCTTTGCAGATAATGGCAGTCCTGATCAGAAACCTGACGACATTTCCATGAAGCAGTAGGGTTAGCCTGTCCCTTCTTGGACTTAAATCCTGGTTTATGCTTCTCTTTTTTGCTGATAAATGTCCTTTGTGGCATTTTCCCCCAGAATAGAGTAGTTCTGTCTGCATTAAAAACCTGTTGAAACAGGCTGGGCATGGTGGCTCATCCCTGCGATCCCAGCACTTTGGGAGGCTGAGACAAAAGAATGGCTTGAGACCAGGAGTTCGAGAGCAGCCTGGGCAAAAAAAAAAAAAAAAAAAAAGAGAGAGACCCTGTCTCCACAAAATTTACACAAAAAATCAGCCTGGTGCTGTGGTGAGTGCCTGTAGCCCTAGCTACTTGGAAGGCTCAACCTACATATCAAGCAATTGTACTTTTTATTGTATTATGACTTTGCTTCTTGAGAAAACAACCAGCATCACTAGTGGCAGTTCATGTGGGTCCTGTGGTGGTATTCAAGGTTTACAGTATTGCACTAAATGATACTTACTGCAATATAAAATTTCTCAGAGATGCTTACATGGAGATAATATGTCATAAGGCACTTTAAGCAAATAAAACACGTTAGCTCACCAAAAGCAATAGGAGGTGGCTATGAAATTATAGTAGTGTTGTATGTACTGTAATTAATTTTATGCAGTTATAATTTAAGACTGCATTTATGTTTACATTTCTCTTGACTGCAAATGAAACCACTTAACAGTCTGTATATGCTCATGTCTTGATAAATTTTAACTTTTTAAATAGCTTTGTGTGTATTTTATGGTGGTAAATGATAGAATAGACTAGTATCTGTATTTTTTTTTTTTTTTTTTTTTTTTTTGGAGACAGGTTTTCCTTGTTTTTACCCCTGCTGGTGTGCAGTTGTGTGATCTCGGCTTACTGCAACCTCTGCCTCCCGGGTTCAAGTGATTCTCCTGCCTCAGCCTCCCGAGTAGCTGGGATTACAGGCATGTGGCACCACGCCCAGCTAATTTTGTATTTTTAGTAGAGACAGGGTTTCTCCACCTTGGTCAGGCTAGTCTCGAACTCCTGACCTCAGGTGATCCACCTGCTTCGGCCTCCTAAAGTGCTGGGATTACAGGCATGAGCTACCACGCCTGGCCTGTATCTTGTTTATTTTATGCCTTCACGACATACCTAATTCATTCTTAGTTTTTTGGGTATTTCTGGACAATGCAGTTCGTGTTTAAGTTTTTTTCAAATTATAACCCTCTAAAAATTTTTCTAATTTATTGAAAGAAAATCATATGTAAGAGCAGGTCTAACCCGTGTTGTTCAGGGTCACCTGTACCTTAAATGTTCTTTATTAACTATATATTTTGGAGTTTTTCTCTTCACAGTATCTATGTACTCATTACTAGATTATTTAGGATTTCTCTTGTGTTGGAAAAGAATCTTTTTTCTTGAACTGATTTTATGATTTACTTTTTAAGACTTACAATAACAGCACTGGGAGAAAAGCTGAATGATTACTGGAATGAAATGAAAGTGAAGAAAAATGCAGAATATCCTCTAAATTTGCCAGTTGAAGATATACAGTAAGTACATTTTTAAAAAATATCAACTCGGCTGGGCGTGGTGGCTCACGCCTGTAATCCTAGCACTTTGAGAGGCCAAGGAGGGCAGATCACGAGGTCAGGAGATGTAGAGCATCCTGACTAACATGGTGAAACCTCATCTCTAGTAAAAATTAAAAAAAGTTAGCTGGATGTGATGGCACACACCTATAGTCCCAGCTACTCGGGAGGGTGAGGCAGCAGAATTGCTTGAACTCCCTGGAGGCGGAGGTTGCAGTGACCCAAGATCGTGCCACTTCACTCCAGCCTAGCAACAGAGTGAGACTCCATCTCAAAAAAAAAAAAAAAAAAAAAAAAAAAATCAACTCACTTTGATATCAAGATGTGGTATTAGAGGATAGGTATTGTACAATGTTTCACAATCTTAGGACTGTAACTCATAGTAAGAAATAAATTCTGCAACATGAATCAGCACTCTGCCAAATCCTTGAAGAGAATGTAAACATGTATACATGCACACAAAACAATATGTACCCATATGTGTGATGCGTATTGTTATTATTTCATTTTAAGATGCGATGAATGGATTACGTAATAGTTTGAAAAACACTGGTATAGTGTATCATTAGGATGATGGGGCTGAAACCCAACTTGTGTTCATATTCTCATTCTGCTTAAGTAGCCATGTGACATTGAACATATTACTCGGCCTCTTGTAAACCTCCATTTTCTTGTGTATAAAATGAGAACATTAAGAGCATTTGCTTCCTTGAGTTACATGAATTAAATAATATGCCTGGCAGGCACGTAGTAACACATCACATGATAACAGTCCTATAAATGAATGAACAATATCTGTGTGTTCTTTATACATTATTATGCATAATTTATATATTATACATAATTTATACATTATTACAAAGATAACCAAGATACATAATGAAAAACAAGAAAGATGCAGCTCACTGTATACATTTTCCATTGTACTTTTCAATTTTTTAATATTTATTTATAGTTTTTATCTATTTATTTTATATATTATACAGATGGGATCTCACTATGTTGCCCAGTCTGGTCACAAGGTACTGGGTTCAGGTGTTCCTCCCACCCGAAGTGCTGGGATTACAGCCGTGAGCTACCATGCCCAGTTTGTATTTTTTAAATGTATTAATATACACATGCACTACCATGCCCAGTTATTTTTTGTGTTTTTTGTAGAGATGGAGTTTCACCGTGTTGTCCACCTGGTCTCTAACTCCTGGGATTATAGGCATGAGCCATCGAACCCAAAGAGTATGTCATAGAATTTTTAGGAAAGGAATTAAATAATAGCATCTTGTGGTAGAAATGACACAGAACATCTAATGAAGTATTTAAAGTTCATGTTTCTATGTTAATATTTTGTTCTTGTTTTGGGACAGGAAACGTCCTGATCAGACATGGGTTCAGTGTGATGCCTGTCTAAAGTGGCGGAAATTACCTGACGGAATAGATCAGCTTCCTGAAAAATGGTATTGCTCCAATAACCCTGACCCACAGTTCAGGTACCATAGAGTTGGTAGTACCCTTTTTGGAAAGACGGAAAGTACTGTTAACAGTGTATAAATAGACACTGGTGACGTGTTATTCCTATGTGATTTTCCTGACTAGAAATTGCGAGGTTCCAGAGGAACCTGAAGATGAGGATTTGGTACATCCCACTTATGAAAAAACCTACAAAAAGACGTGAGTGTTGTAGTGATGTATAGTGGGTAATAATGCCTAAAGCATGAACAGTGGTGCCTTGGCAACATTAGTTGATGCTTCTCTAAGGTAAACCTTATGTAACTGTAAAAGTTTGTAATGTGGAGTGCGTAATATCGAGGGCTTTAGAAACAGAAACTTAACGCTGTGGATACCAGCTGTTTCTTTCCCTCATTCTCATTGCCGCCATATCTCCTGAGTAGCAGAGTCCCACCACTTGGGGAAGCTGAGACAGGCGGATCACTTGAGGTCAGGAGTTCGAGACCAACCTGGCCAACATGGTGACACCCTGACTATATTAAAAATACAAAAATTAGCCTGGTGTGGTGGCACGCATCTGTAATCGCAGCTACTCAGGAGGCAGAGGTTGCAGTGAGCTGAGCACACCACTGCACTCCAGCCTGGGTGACACAGCGAGACTCCGTTTCAAAAAAAAAAACAAACAAAAAAAAGAAACCTGGCCGGGCACAGTGGCTCACGCCTGTGATCCCAGCAGTTTGGGAGGCTGAGGCAGGTAGATCACGAGGTCAAGAGATAGGGACCATTCTGGCCAACGTGGTGAAATCCTGTCTCTACTAAAAATACAAAAATTAGCCAGGTGCGGTGGTGTACGCCTGTAATCCCAGCTACTCAGGAGGCTGAGGCAGAAAAATTGCTTGAACCCAGGAGGTGGAGATTGCAGGGAGCCAAGATTGTGCCACCGCACTCCAGCCTGGGCAACAAGGTGAGACTCTGTCTCACAAAAAAAAAAAAAAAAAAAAAATTAGAAAAGAAACCTATGTGATGTTCTAGTTCAAAAGACTGTGATTCTGGACTGAGTTAACTGGCCTTAATGGAGAAAAAAAGGCCAAAGGTCTGCAGTTCATACCTGTGAGGATGGAAAAATTCAGGCAGACATTATGGTGCTACTGAAATAAAAGGTAGAAATTATTTCCCGAAAGGCCTACTGCTGATTGTATTGAAATAGAAGCAGAGTTTAGAGTGCCTTAGTAATAACTGCATAGTTAAATGGCAGGTATGTCAGTGGGAAATGGGATTGAGAAATAACAATGAGGTAAATGTAAACATGTTTTCATCTTTATTTTAAAGCAACAAGGAAAAATTCAGGATCAGACAACCGGAAATGATCCCTCGGGTAATTAAGCCTTCCTTCCTTTTTTTTTTTTTTTTTTTTTTCCTTTTCTTTTTTTTTAATAGAGCTGGGGGCCAGGTGTGGAGGTTCACACCTGTAATCTCAGCACTTTCGGAGGCCAAGGTGAGTGGATCACCTGAGGTCAGGAGTTTGAGACCAGCCTGGCCAACATGGTGAAACCCGTCTCTACTAAAAATACAAAATTAGCTGGATGTGGTGGCGCATGCCTGTAGTCCCAGCTACTTGGGAGGCTAAGACCAGAGAATTGCTTGAACCTGGGAAGTGGAGTTGCAGTGAGAGAGATCAGTGCCACTGCACTGCAGCCTGGGTGACAGAGACTCTGTGTAGACCAGGCTGGTCTTGAACTCCTATCCTCAAGTAATCTTCCCAAACTGCTATGATTACAGGTATGAGCTACCACAGCTGTCCAAGCTTTCCGTCTTATAGCTGTGTCTTATGTTGGATAATGCTTAATCAATACTGACTGTTAAAGTTTACTATGTATCAAAGGGATTTGGTTTATTTGTCTTCTTCTCTTGTACTTTTCCTTGCCCACCTTTCCAACCCTAATTCAACATTGTTCAGACTGTTAGTTTTATTGTTTAGTTGGATATCTTCTGAGGAAAGGGAAACAAACTTTTAAAAGTAGTAATGTTAGATAAGCAGTTAAGGAAAACGTCCCAGGAACACCCAGGAAGCCATATTCTAGTGCTAACCTGGACAGAAGCTATAGTGTTTTTCTAAGTGTTGACTACTCTGCCTGACCTCTCTCTCCTGTCTTAATACTTACTATGTTAAAGAGCTTTGGTTGAGTATAGATGCTCCTGGGCTTACCATGGAGTTACCTCCTGGTAAGCCATTGGAAATTTAAAATGTGGTTGGCCATGATTGGTGGCTCACGCCTGTGATCCCAGCACTTTGGGAGGCCGAAGCAAGTGGATCACTTGAGGCCAGGAGTTTGAGATCAGCCTTGGCAATATGGCAAAATCCTATCTCTACTAAAAATATAAAAAATACCTGGGCATGGTGGCAGGCCCTTGTTACCCAGCTACTCAGGAGACTGAGGCACAAGAATCGCTTAAACCAACAGGTGGAGGTTGCAGTGAGCCAAGATCTCACCGCTGCACTCCATCCTGGATGGTAGAGTGAGACTCTGCCTCAAAAAACAGACAGCACACAGAAGATATTATCAAAAATGTATTTAATACACTTAACCTGTTGAATATCATAGCTTTGCCTAGCCTACCTTAATTGTGCTCAGAACCCTTCTATTAGCCTACAGTTGGGCAGTCATCTAATAGTCAATTTTATCATGAGGTGTCAAGTGTCTCAACTTTATTGAATATTGAAAGTGAAAAATAAAACCAAAGTGATTGCTTGAGCACTGCAAGTACAGTTTCTGCTGAATGGGTATTGCTGTCGCCCCATCATAAAGTTGAAGCCGTTATAAATCAGAGGCCATCTGTATACGAGTAGGCGATGCTTGAGAAGTTTTGGTCTTAAGTCCAGTAGCAAAGAGGTCACCACATGTTAAATCTTTTTGGCTTTGTGGGCCACATAAAGTCTCTGTTGCATATTCTGTTCTGTTGCTTTGTTTCTTCATACCTTTTAAAAATACGAAACCATTCTTAGCCTACTTGCAGGCTGAATTTAGTTCGTTGGTTTAGTTTTTGATCATCCCTGGTGTATTACAAGGAATTTGCATGTTTACAATTGTTCTTGTGTCTTCTGGGATAAGGGGGAAAGGAAGATTATATCTTGTGTTTTGGGCATATCACACTAGAAATAGTTCGTTTAAGATCAGTATTTTTCCCTCCAACAGATTAATACTGAACTGTTGTTTCGGCCAACTGGTCTTTCAACTCCCAGCTTTTCTGCTAAGGAAAGTGTTCCAAGAAGAATTTCAGAAGGAGCAAATTCTTATGCAACAAGACTTCTAAATAATCATCAAGTTTCACCCCAGTCTGAACCTGAGAGCAACAGGTCAGTGGCTAACACTGGTTTTCCATTTGGGGAATATTAAACAGAGCCTTTAATTGACACTTTTTTTTTTCGAGACGGAGTCTCGCTCTGTTGCCCAGGCTGGAGTGCAGTGGTGCAATCTCAGCTCACCACAATCTCTGCCTCCTGGGTTTAAGCGATTCTCTTGCCTCAGCCTCCCAAGTAGCTGGGACTACAGGCATGTGCCAAAAATGCCCGGCTAATTTTTGTATTTTCAGTAGAGACGGCGTTTCACTGTGTTGGCCAGGGTGCTCTTGAACTCCTGACCTCGTGCTCTCCTTGCCTTGGCCTCCCAAAGTGCTGGGATTAACAGGCTTGAGCCATTGTGCCCAGCCTTAGTTGATACTTCTATGACAGTGATGCAATTCAGGATCATTGTAGTTTACATTGTGATTTGTAGGTTACATGAATATGAAAATCTTAAGGACAAATTGTCTTGCTTTTATTGTCTACACTTAGGCTAAAACCCTACTTCCACCACCTCTTAAATTATTTAAAAAATATTAATTGACCAGCCTGGCCAACATCGCGAAACCCCGTCTCCATTAAAAATACAAAGAAAATAACTGGGCGTGGTGGCAGGCGCCTATAACCCCAGCTACTTGGGAAGCTGAGGCAGGAGAATTGCTTAAAGCTGCGAGATGGAGGTTGCAGTGAGCCGAGATCATTGTGCCATTGCGCTCCAGCCTGGGCGACAAGAGCAAAACTCCATCTCGAAAAAGAAAAAATACAGAGTTTAATTGTATTCATTGTAGAGTTTGATCACATTGTCACCTCTTTGAACTTCTATATAGTATGAAAATTCCTGCTTTTAAAATGATCAGTACTTAAAAAAATGTGAAGCAATTAATAGTATGACACTATAGTGACCTGGAAATTCTTTGCAAAAAAGCCTATGGCATGCTGTAGGCACCTACTTTTATTGGAGGAGTGAATGGAGAAGGAAGGGAGGGAGAAAGAGAAAGTGATACATGAATGGTTAGCGATCTTGACTAGATTGATCAACGAAGGCTTTGTGATGAGGTGGTACTTAGGTTGCCTGGTTCCTGAAGTTCTGAAAATGGTAGTCTTGTAGATGGCCTCTTCCAAGTTAATAGAATGCACGAGAGTGGAGAAGAGTGAACATGATGTCTACAACTAGTGGATTAGACTGACTATACTGATGTTTGTTATTGAAAGAGGGGAATTTTTGATTAAATGACTTTGTTTTGTTTGAGATGGAGTCTTGCTCTGTCACCCAAGCTATAGTGCAGTGGTATAATCTTAGTTCATTGCAACCTCTGCCTCCTGGGTTCAAGCAGTTCTCCTGCCTCAGCCCCCAAGCAGCTGGGACTACAAATGCATGCCACCACCCCGGCTAATTTTTGTATTTTAGTAGAGATAGTGTTTCACCATGTTGCCCATGCTGGTCTCAAACTCCTGAGCTCAGGCAGTCTGCCTGCTTTGGCCTCCCAAAGTGCTGGGATTACAGGTGTGAGCCACTGTGCCCAGCCTATTAAACAGTTTTTAAAGCCATATTTATTCTCAAATTTATAAACCAAAGTTTATGGAAAGGGTGTATCTAAACTAAGTCTTAGGAAATACAAGCAGGAATTAGCTTGGTAAGAGAAATAATAGAGTAATTCTAAATTAAACGGGCAGAGTAAGAAGTAATTGATATAGCAGACCAGAGAAAGCTGAAACCTAAGGCTACTGGAGAATGGTAGAAACCTGACAAGAAGCAAGCCAGTTTACTCCACAAATCCCTAGAAAGTCTCCTAAGTTGGAAGCATCGGTGACTGCTGAAGGTGGAAGATAGATAGGGGCAAGAACCAGAGGCTCAGTTGGAAAATTAAGGTCGAGACCTCTTCCCAACCTGCAATGTCTCTGGTGAGTGCTCTTTCTCTGCCTCTGTCAGAAGATAGGAAATTTATTTTATGGA